GAGGAATAGAATGGGCTTTTCTCATCACAGCCTCACCCTCAAGCCTCATCACTGATTGGATGGGCAGAAAACACGATCTTCTGCATATTTTCGTTCCTTTGTTTTGAGTGATGTTGAGCATAGTTTCACATTTATTGGCTATTTGATTTCTTATTTTATATTAAAACATCCCTCTCCCTCCTCCTTTTCTTCTCTCTCATTATCTGATTGCCTCTTCTATTTCCTTTTTATTTTCCCTCTCTTCTCTTAATTCTCCAGAATAAGAAAAAATGACATTGCTTAAAAATGTCTTACAGCTTTATATTCCCTGTCCTTCCTTTACAAATTGGGCAAATTTAAACTGTTCCTCAGTCACAGCAAGTTCCCCTTAAATAAATAATGTTATCGTATTAGTTTTTGCTTCTCTGTGACCCTTGCTTATCGGTTTATTTGTTTTTCCTTTACTCTGCGGATAAGTGGCACTTGAATTTTAAAAGTCATTACTTTGGATAGTTTTAATCACAAGATATGCCATGGAAATCATTTGGTGGAGGAGATACTAAATTTGTCACAAAATGCCAACATCTGCTTACCTTTTTGCCTCTTTCTTGATTTTGGCAGATTATCACCCAGAGGAATTCTAATTATGTAGGAGTCCTCATTGGTGACGTTCCAGGTGACTTGGGATTTGTCACCCTGGTCACCTGTGAGCATCTCTGCCCCATGTTGCCACTTTCAGGAAAGGTGAGAACGAATCGTTTTGTTTTTCTTTTCTATTATACTGTGGTAGGTGGTTTTGATTTAAAGGAGTAAATCAGGCCCTAATCTCTTCCCTCATCTCCCCTCCAAATGCTTCTCTTTCTGAGAAATGGGGAAAGTAGGCATCGAGCAGTGTCACCAGCTGGTGGGCCACCTGCGTCAGGCCTCACTGATCCCATCTCACTCAGCCATCGAAAGGAAGGAATGAAGCACCACACCTGCTACCATGTGGGTGGCCCTTGAGACCACGATGCTGAGCGAGAGACGCCAGACACAGAGGGCCATGTAGTGTGTGATTCCGTGGACAGGACGCAGCAGGTGCCCAGAGACAGAAAGCCGATCAGTGGTCTTAGAGCCCAAGGGGTGGGGAGTGGGGGGTGACTGCTAACGGGTGCTGGTTTCTTTTCGGGGTGATGAAAATGTCCCAGAGTTAGTGATGACGGTTGCACAACTTGGTGACTATACTAAAAAAGACGTCGAGCCCAACCGGCATGGCTCAGTGGTTGAGGGTCGACCTATGAACCAGGAGGTCCCTGGTTCAATTCCTGGTCAGGGCACATGCCCGGGTTGCAGGCTCGATCCCCAGTAGGGGGCATGCAGGAGGCAGCCGATCAATGATTCTCTCTCATCATTGATGTTTCTGTCTCTCTCTCCTTCTCCCTTCCTCTCTGATATCAATAAAACTATTTTTTAAAAGACATCGAATTGGACACTCTAAATGGGGGAGCTTTGAGACATGTACATTATGTGTCAAAAAAGCTGTTAAAATACTGATTCCAGGGCCAGCCCCAACCAGCCCAGACCCGTTCAGTGTGAAAGCCAGGAATCAGCGCATCACTCAGACGCCCCAGCAGGACCAGCGACACAATGTGTGGGTCTCGTACAAAATGAAAGTGTCGGCCCCTTGTTCAAGAATCATCAAGAATGTCAAGACCGTGACAACAGAGCATCCACACCAGCGTGGGGCCTTCTGAGGGGGGCCAGACTGGTGTTTGGGATGCCCGATGCTGTCCCCAAAGGAAGGAAGGGGATTGGTTAGCAGATAAACCTCCTCATCAGAGAAGCTGTAGGTGGATTTGCTGGAAATACAAGAGGAGAAATTAAAGCTTCAAAAGGCTTCCTCTCCCTGCAGAGCTCCGAGGTGGTTTTAGTCAGAACCGTGGCGCAGTCCCCCAGCAGGCACTGAGTCATCTGCAGAACCGTGGACTTTCAGGCAGGCTGCTGCAGATCAGCAGGGGATCCCGGCCAGATCAGCAAGGGATCCAGGCCACTGTCAGCTGTGCAGCTGGGACCACTCTGACTGATTGGGGCAGAGCCCATGTCTATGAAAGGATGCGAGGGGCCCGGTCCTGGCAGGGTGGGGGGTTGGCAGCCATGAAGAGCTCGGCCCCTGCTGCCCCCAGGGGCAATGGCCGTCTCTCCCTGCAACACTGAACTTGCTGAGCTTGCTGCTCTGTGTCACCAGCCCCTAAGCCACAGTCTGATGGTATTGCCAGAGGGACTGGAGATTGAGTTAATAATAAATCATGCCTGAGGGATGTAACCTCCATAAAAAAACCTCTGAATTATGGGGGTTGGTGACTGCATCCACGTGCCAGGAGCGGGGTGCAATCAGCTCCCCGGGGCAGAAGCGTGGTGCTCAGGCCCCTTCCAGACCTCACCCTGTGCACATCATCCGGCTGTGCATCTGTCTGAATCGTCATCACATCCTTTGTAACAAACCATGGGCATGAGTAGATGGTTCCCTGACTCCTGTGAGCCGTTCTAGCAAGAGTGGGTGACCTGGGGACCTATGGTGTCTGAAGTTGGGGGGGGCAGTCTTGTGGGGCCGAGACCTCATCCTGGGGAGTCTGCACTAACTCAGCAGCCATGGTGAATCAATGTGTAACGCCTGGTTGGTGTCCGCAGCGAGCTGGAGACTGGCTCAGGGTGGCAGCCCCACACCTGTCCTGTGAGTGGAGAAGCGTTTTCCTTCACAGGCCCACGTCCTTGCTATAATGAAGGCAGCATCTCTCGCCTTTTCGACTTCCGTAGCAGGAGGCTGGCTCTGCTCTCTACCAAAGCTAAGTCTCAAACCATTAACCCTTCATTCTCATACAAAGACAAAGGTTTCCGTCACCTCATCGAGGAAGGGATCAATCGATTCAAAGGACTGTACAAGGAACTAACATCTCTCTCATCTGTCTCTCCGTCACCTTGAAGAAATGGATGCTGGGATAAAATGCTCAGGTCGCTGTTCCACTGGTTGATGTTCTACAGTCAGGAAACCATCACCTCTGGGTTATCTTCTCCACTTGGTAGAAATCATTTGCATCTCATTGATTGTCTACAAGTCCACAGACTCTGGTACCTAATCGATAATAAATCATGCCAAGGCCCTGACCAGGTAGGTTAGTTGGTTAGAGCATCATCCTGATTTGCCAAAGTTGTAGATTTGATCCCCAGTCAGGGCACATATAAGAAGCAACCAACGAATGCTTCAGTCAAAAAGAATGATAGCTGTCCGCCACAGTGGGTGTTTGTGGAAGGACTGACCAAAACATTGTCATTGGAGGTTAGGCTATTTGGGAGCTTAAAAGCCTGGTATGGAACTTGGAGTAGAGAAGTCTGAGGCTGAACTGCCTATCTCAGAGTGCTAACCTCATCCCCTTATATGAAGACTTGGGCAAGTCCTACTATCTGTTTGGGCCTCAGTTTCCCTCAAAAAAAGACAAAGATGAAAGTGCTGCCCTGACTGGTTTGGCTCAGTGGATAGAGCGTCGGCCTGTGGACTAAAAGGTCCCAGGTTCGATTCTGGTCAAGGGCATGTACCTTGGTTGCGGGCACATCCCCAGGAGGAGGTGTGCAGGAGGCAGCTGATCGATGTTTCTCTCTCATCGATGTTTCTAACTCTCTATCCCTCTCCCTTCCTCTCTGTAAAAAATCAATAAAATATATTTTAAAAAAAAGAAAGTGCTGATGGACTCAAGGCCAGCGATTCTCAGGCTCGCATGTGTATGTGAATCACCTGGAGGTTTCACTAAAGAACAGATTGCTGGCTGCACCCCAAACTGTCTGACTCAGTAGGTCTGGGGTGGGGCCCACGGATTTGCATTTCTAACACGTTGCCAGGCAACGCTGCTGCTGTTAGCCCAGAGATTTGAGAACCATTAGTCCAGATGCCTTCTAAGGAACGGTTAAGAGCTTTGGGCTCAACATTCAATCAAATGATCACAGCGCTAGCGCTGGCCCTGGCTGTGAAGAAGTCACTGATGGAAGGAAGGAACAGGCCTTGACAGGAGCAGAGGGTTGGGAAGGCAGTGGGAACCATGCTTAGACACCCCAGTGCTCGCTCTGTGCCAGCCATGGCACTAAGTGCCCCTAAGGCCCAGTCTCCCAGGGAAGGACGGAGGGTGGGCAGAGTGCCGAAGAGAGCTTGAATCCGGGGCCCCCCCCACTTAGCAGCCTTGTGGCCTCAAGCAAGTAACTAAATGACTTTTGACTTTGGTTTCTCCACCTATAAAAAGAGAATAATAATGATACTTACATGACCTGGCATAAAGAAAATGCCCAATAAATGGTCGTTGCTAAACTTATTGTAATTTGCTACTGAGCCTGTTCAGTGGGCCAAAATGGTAGAAGTAGTATCTATTTCTACAGCATGTCCCATGCTCCCTCAGCCACACACCACCCGGCCTGGACTCCCCCTTCACAACATGCAAAACAGAGTTATGAGAAAAATTCAAAATAATTTATTAAATAGGTGCCAAGGGCTCCTCCAAGGAGCATTAACAACTCTCAATACAATAAATATCAATAAGTTAACACAGGTGCCAGCTCCTGCCCTCGCAAGGGTACATATAGGAGAGTAATAAATAAAACTTAAGTCTGCAGAAAAAAACATTCTATAAATACCCAGACAGTTCGAAATCTGCTTCAAGTTCATTCACACGTTTATATCTCAGTTCCCCCAGGACTGGTCAGCTGGGGGTTCACTGAGGTCATTCATTGGAATAATTTACTTATAACTCATGGTAAGGTTCGCACACTTAGCAGTCACTCATCTTTTTTGAAGGCTTCTCACATTTTCACCATTTCAAGAGGAGTAGGCTCCACTGGATGGCCGTCGACGACCTGTTTCAGTGACTACAATGATTTCACGCACGTAGAAAACTCCTGTAAAATAGCCAAGGTGAGCCTTTTACATTCATAGCTGTTGTTGGGCATCGAAACTTTAGTTTCTGGTCCAGGTGGAAATAGGGGTTTTTCGAGCTGTTGTATGATGTCATTGATGTTCATTTTGTCATCGCATAGACATGGATGACGTTCGATGGCCCTGAAATAAGGCAGGACGGCTGAGCTGTTGATGTAGTGTGGTGGTCGGCAGTCGGAGGCGAAAGGCCGCAGCAGGTGAGGCGTGGACGTCGGCAGGCCCGTCTCATTCTAACAAGGGGGAGCAAAGATGAGCATTAGGTTTGCTAGAAATCCCAAGAGGTAATTTCTGGATGCTTCCTCTGTGGCTGGTATGGGCGAGGGCCCCCCACCATCACCCCCAACATCTCCTCTCATCGGTGCCACAACCCCGGGAGGCTGTGGCCATCACTGTCCCAGAAGAAACTAAAGCTCGTCTGGTTGGTGGAGCTGGCCCAAGATCAAGTGGCAGACCCAGATTCCCACCCGCGCCAGGCAGCCCGGCTCCATCTGGCCCCCTCTCCCCATCTGGCTGAGGCCCCCACAGCCTTCTGGAATCTCCTCTCGGCTGCTCTGGGGCTCGGAGGGATGGGTGTCCATGTGGCTGCTTGCTCTTGGCAGCTCGTGTTACAGCCGATACAGCCCCTGCTTCTAGAGGAGGCTACACTTGGCAGAAAGGCCTCTGAGACGCCAGGGAGAGATTTTCCAAACACAGCCAGGCTCACAGACCACACTCTCCCCGCTCCTCGGCCTAAGGACTAAGCATCTGGGTTGCACTTGAGCTAAGAGCACCCATCAGCCTGAACTGCCCATCGCCTCGCCGATAGCCTCTGCCCCGGGGTCTAGACGAGCCAAGGCTGCGGTTTGAGTGCCAGGGTGGAAGGAAGGGGCAAGGCCAGTGTCACCAACTGTTTCCATGTTTGGGTTTTTGCTTGTTTGTTTAATCAAAGCTGCCCAAGAGGTTCTGTCTTGATCGCAACCCTGAGAAAATGAGTTGCCATTTTTCAGCTTCATATGTTCCTCCCGAAGGGGTTGGCTCAGCAGAGCCTCCGCTAGAGGCAGACTGGGTCCTGATCAGACAATGAAGGTCAGACAGGCGGACACCTAACGTGTTAACTGCCCTGCTCTGCGGGAAGAGAGCTCCCGGGGACCCACAGGCGCGTTCACTGTCCTCCATTCACAGGGACATTGTCACAGCTTAGCTTGGTGGTCACCAGCTCCTGAACCGGTAGACAAGATGGGCCACATCAAAGGATATGCTGCAGGCAGGAAGCTTCATTTTACAATATTGTGAACCAAACATGGTAGGAGGGACCAAGCCTACTAAGCAGATCCTGTAGTGTGGGGTGTGCAGGAGGCAGCCGATCGATGATTCTCTCCAAAAATTGTTGGGTTGGGGGCTGTCTAAGCTCATCTCTGCCTCTGACCCACACCCGCATAAAAATCCCACCGTAACCTGTCTCATTGTACCCATCCTTTCCCACATAGCCACAGCCCTGGCTTCAGGTCTGCAAAGAGCCCCTTCTTCTGGGCGCAAGGAAAGGTGTTTTAAAGAAATGGCTTAGAAAAGAAATCTGGAGGGCACTTACGCAGTTTTCCAAAAGTCTCTCAGATGAAGCCTTTAGTTCTATGATGATTTTCTTTAGGTCACTTCCACCAGGGATGGGAGCCGTGTGGACGGACAGCAAGGTTCCCATACAGCAGAGCAGAAGCAGGGCACCCCTGGTGGGTCCTGAGGAGAGAATGCTGCCATGAAGCCCCCAGCCAGGCGCCCCCTGCCCACCCAGCCACCACGGGGTAAGCCCCTCCGGAGTCTTTCAGTCCATCTCATGGTACCTGTGTGGGAGGCCATGGTGAGAGGGAGCGGAGCCTGCTTCAGCAACAGCTGCTTGAGCCAGATGTGTTCGCCATGGCCTCCAGGTGATATATAAAGGGCCCGCCGTGAGGAAGGACAATCGATGTTCCGCCCATGGCAAGATTATTGCTCAGCTTTTCTCCAGAAAACACTTTCAAAATTTTGCCGCCCAAGGCTGAGTGAAAGCAGGGCTGGAAGGAAATGCTGAGGTTACCCTCAAGGTGGGCAGATGCCTGACTCAGTGCAGGCACACACAGGAAGGCACACGCATCTTTGCCACGTCTTCTTGGAAAGAGCCGGTAAATCTGACCAGAAGAAATTTTGAAGCCCAGGGTTGACAGGCACAACCACCAAGAAATATGATGTTGCAGGAGATGCTGGTCAGTGCCCCACAGGGAATTTCTGGGGAGGGTCACAGCTGAGCGCGTGTGGGTGGAGAGGGAACGTGCTTGCAAAGTGCGTTATCTTGGTAGATTTCTGAAGCATGCCCCTGCCAGCGTGCAGGTACAGCCCTGATAACCGCTGTGACTGTGGCATGTCAAAGACCGTATCTCACCTCTGCATGGTCTTGAACATCATTGGACTTTGCAAGTGCAGGACCAGGAACCAGAATCCGTGCTCGGGAGTCATTTGTTGAAATCACTTATGCGTAGTTTGAGTGCCACCTTCGACCAGGCGCTCTTCTAGCAAAGAAGTTCAACAAGGTCCCTGCCCTCGCAGAGCTGGCATTCTCCTGGGCAAGGGGCACAATGTTAATAAACAAGAAAACATCAGGTCATAAGAACTATAAAAATCAAGGTGTTGGGATAGAGAATGGCAGGTGACCAGGAAAAGTCTCTCTGAGCCGAAACCTGAAAGATGAGAAGGACCTGTTGTGGGAAGACCTGAGGAAGCAGTGCTGGCAGAGGGAACCCTCGCATGCAAGTCCTCAGGCAGAAATGAGCTTGCTGTGACTAAGGAGAGGAAGCAGCTCGTGGCAGCTGGGACAAAGTGAGAGAAGAGGAGGGTGGTGGGAAGGGGGGCAGAGGGCAAGTCACAAGGGTCTTATGAGGATAAAGAAGTTGGGCTTCATTCCAGGTGTGATGCACCACTGAATGGCTGTAGGTAGGGAAATTCAGGGTCTGGCTTACTTTAAGAAAAAAGATAGGCTGCTGGGTGGAGAATGGATTTTTGGGAATCCAATGTGGAAGCAGAGAGACCAATTAGGAGGGTCAGCAGCCGTGCAGGTGAGAGATGAGGGCGGCTTGGACCAGGATAGAGTGGATGGAGATGGAGTCTACAGAACCAGCCAATGGAATAATGTGGAGAGGAATCAAAGACAGGAATCAAGGATGACTCTGTGAATTTTGATAAAGCAATCAGGTGGTTGATGTGCAGTGAGGGAAAAGAAGACTAGAGACGGGAAACCAAGAGTTCTATTTGGAATGAGTCAAGTTTGAGATGCGCAATGAGAATCTATTCAATGTCTAGTCAGCGGTTGGATTGGAGTCAAGAGCGCAGAACTGAGGTCAGGCCAGGGCAGTCCATAGAACTGAAGATGCACAACGAAGAGACAGCTACAAACCCCCTTTCACCTTAACCCCAAGTCTCCTTCCAACTGCGACTGGTCTCTTTCCTCTCCTTATCCAAGCTTCTTGACAGAGCAATCTATGCTCACTTTTACCTCACTTCACAAACTGTCACAATATGGTTTTCACCCCAAGAATTTCTTTAAAATCCTCTAGCAAAGTCCATGGTAAGCAGAATTTTTCCCCCGTGACTTTTACCCTCTGGTATTTACTCTCATAATTATGTTACATTACATGGCAGAAAGACTTTGCAGATGTAATTACAGTTACTAATCAGTTGATCTTAAGCTAGATGATTACCAAGTGGATCCAATGTAGTCACAGGAGCCCTTAAAAACAAAGAGGAAGTCAGAAGAGAAAGTCGGAGAGACTCAAAGCATGAGAAAGATTCAACTGTCATTGCTGGCTTGAAAATGGAGGGAGCCAAGTGGAAAGCATGAGAAGAAAATGAATTTGGCCAATGACTAGTGAGTGTGGAAGATGACCCTGGGCTGTAGCTGAGAACCACAGCCTCAGTTGATAACTTCAATTTAGCCTAATAAGATGCTGAGCAGGGAACCCAGTTACAGCATCTGGACTTCTGACCCACAGAAACTGTGAGGCAGTAACTTTGTGGTTTTAAGCTGCTAAGTGTACCACATTTTCTACAGCAGCAACAAAGAGCCAATAGTTGCCCTGGCTGGTATGGTTCAGTTGGTTGAGCATCATTCCATGCAGTGAAAGGTTGCAGGTTTGATTCCTGATCAGGGCACATGCCTGGGTTGCCTGCTTGATCCTAGGTGGAGGGCGTTGCAGGAGGCAGCCGATCAATATTTTGCTCACATCAATGTTTCTCTTTCTCTCTTTCTCTCTCTCTCTCTCTCAAAATCTTTTTTAAATGCCCGGCTGGCATGGCTCAGTGGTTGAGTATTGATCTGTGAACCAGGTGGTCACGGTTTGATGCAAGGTTGTGGGCTGGATCCCCAGTGTGGGGCGTGCAGGAGGCAGCCAATCAATGATTCCCTCCCATCATTGAGGTTTCTATCTCTGTCTCCCTTCCTCTCTGAAGTCAATAAAAATATATTTTTAAATCTTAAGAAAAAACACACAAGTGTAAGCCTATAAGATATAAGTCAGGTGTGGAGCCCAGGGGTGCACCTCCATCAGCAGAACAGGGAGAGGAAGGTGACTTGGCCCTGAATACGGAGAAGGTGCTCTAGAGAGAAAGAGACGTAGAGAAGCATGTTGTCATGGAACAACATGAAAGCGGTTTTCAAGAAGGAGGAAGTGATCAGCCCCAGCAAAAACTACGGAGAGGTTCGTTAAGATAAAGGCTGAGGAGCGTCTCGACGCAGGGGAACATGAGGTCACTGGGAAGTTTGAACACACTGTTGGGGGTGGAAGCCATATGGTGGTGGTTTGAGAAGTGAGAAAAAAGTGAAACTACCCAGTTGCTTCATCAAAATCCTGGGAGTTAATCTTGATTCCTCTCTTTGATTAGTTTGTATTGCAACAGACTCATGGGTATTTATTTTCCTAGTTTGGGAGAATTTCTCTAATAATAGTAAAGGTGTCCTCCTACAGGAAAGTAGCCACCACAGCAGGTGTTTTGGGAAGGATCACAGTCAGGAAATTGGACTTTCTCAACATTAAACATTTTTTGCTCTTTCTAGAGACACCGCTGAGAGAAAGAAAAGACTGGCCTAGAAGAGGAGAAAGTACTTACCAATCACAAATCCATACCATAGGACTCATCAATTGCATTCCTAGAGGAATTCCTTCCACGAAAACCTGTACATGAGTGTTCAGAGCGGCATTCCTCGTCAGAGCCAGTGAGAACAACTCAAAGGCCTATCAGTTGATGATGGATAAACAGAACGCGTTCTGCCCCTATCGTGGCACAGTGTCCCACTATGTGAGCGGTTAGAAGAAGTAAATCCACGGGGACAGAAAGCATATTGTGGTTGCCGGGGGCTGGGTAGATGGGAATGGAGGGAAATGTTGAAAGTTAGATTAGAATGATAGTTGCACTGTGAATACACTAACACCCACAGAATTGCACACTTTAAAGCAGCCCGTTCTAGGGATGTCCATTATATCTCCATAAACGATGTTGCGTTTCCATATTATAGGAACCAGAGTCATGGGTTCCCATGGATTTCACCAAGCAGTGCCAGGAGCCCCTCCTGTGTGACCGGCAGTGGGCTCCATGCTCTGAGGATGGAGAGGTAAGTGGGATTGGGTCAGTCTCAAATGGGGTCTGTGATTAAAACTCCCTGAGTCAGGAGTTAAGGAGAGTCACATTGGAATCCCCTGATGACAATCTTGAGCTTGACCTTGGGCTAATGTCTCCTTTCCAGATCTGTCAAGTGGGGGTAATAATGAGCATTTTTCTCTGGAGGAGAATCCGTAGCGTAAGGGAATCGCAGGGCACGTGCTGGGAGCCGCAGCAGTTACTGCCCCAGGGGCGGGGGGACCTGTACTGTTTTCCTTGGTTTACAGCCGTGAGCACAGGCGAGGTCAGGAGGGAAAACCCAGTTCTCCTGGGGCTGAGCCAGGGTCTCCCGGGGCGAGTCCTGGGATCCCAGAGCGCCTGCGCCGCC